AAGTTAGCGCTCCGCAGGCAGACACAGTTACCAGTAGGCAGCTGCAGCTGACACCAATCAAAAGCCGTTAAACTAAATCCGAGAACCTTCGAACAAACAAAGTTAATTAGCAGCAGCTAACTAGCTAGGTTGGAAGAGGTGGGTGTTCTTGCGAGGTAAAGAGCAATAGAACTAAGGAGTGACTGTGATGCGACAGTATTTATATGTGCAGGCGGAGCCTGACATCTGTCGTCATCAAGTCACCTGCCTAAAGGCGTGATTAGRGGTGGCTTCAGCCAGGACACGCAGGGGCGTGGTTTCCCATACATGATGTGTTGTACCGAGTGAATTGACTGAAAGGGAACAAAGAGCTTTAGTCTAAACAGGAAATCCATGCAGAATTCGTCTTGAAAAGTCTGGGAGAAGGTGTCTTAAAATGCTGTTCTTATCTGTGCTGAAGCATCTCTGCAGTGTTTCTGTGCTTCTGAAATCCATGGTGTGCTGGATGTGTTTGTCTGCAGGGAGCTGGCGCTGATGGCCCTGGCTGTGTCCTGCCTCCACATGTTTGCTCAGAGTAACTGGACCGGCCCTCCRGTTTCTCTCCATGCGTGCGACTCACTGCCTCCAGCCCTGCTGTCCTCTCAGGTACCACACCGTCTCATCGCTGACTCCTGCTTTTGTGTTGTCTGTCATCTTATCTCCTGCAGCGTTTAGTTTACTGGTCTGCTGGTAAGCTGGTCTGCTGAGAAAGACCTCTTCACAAGTGCCTTTTTTAATACATCATCTTTTCTTTGTATTTTATAAACAGATCTAGAAACCATACAGATGATTAAATAAACCCTTATTAATCTGCCTTTGTTCCTTTCATGTCTTGTATTTTTTTAATAAACATTTCTCATCACGCGTAACAGGATTGTTACATATCCAATTACCATAYATAATTGGCGCTAAATTAGTCCAGGTTAGTCCAATTAGAACAGGTGGTCCGGCTGCCTGAAGCTGTTTGATGTGTTTGTGCCACATCCTGGATCTGTTTCAGCTTATTATCAGGATCCATTAACACTGGAAGCATTTCAGAATCACAATTTATTTGGACGATAAATTAGTCTCAAAAGTCTTCACAAAAAGCATACAACAAAGATTTGTATGTGCACCACAAGATTTACAAATGCATCAATAGTTTTTTTTAATGTAGACATTTCAAAAGGCACAGGTAGAAATATGCTAGACATATAACCTGCTATATACTAGGAATGTGCGATATGGCAAAAAATTCATATCACGATATACATTATGATGAGTGGCGGTAACGATATATATCACGATATAAAACTTATAATAGAAAATAAATAAATCACACATTAATTGAGTGGAATAAATATGTATAGGTAAAAAAATTAGACCTTAAAATCTTTTTTTTTAATCTTTTTTTAAGGGACACTTG